CACTGCAACGTACTATGTACTCAAATTATCTTAACGTCCTTAATGCGAACGACTTGAAGACCAACGTCTGGCCGTTCGTCGGGGGTACTTAAAGTCGTGAAAAAATTGCGCGACTATATGGTAAATTTGGAGCCACTTTTACAATTAACTTTGACAATTTAAACATTTAATTCAAGGTACTGACGAATTTGTAAATCAAAAATAATTGGAAATTGATTGTTAGCTCTTTGCTCTTGCCCTTTGATTAACAACAGAATCTTTTTCTTTCCAAATAAAAAAAAAAACTTTTTTTATTGGAAGAACAGTAAAAGATTTAAAGAGAAATTGAGAAATAATGAATATTCCTCCATTCAAAGTTTCGAATGGAGTGATTCTCGAGTCGGTGACTCACTTTTTAGAAAAATTGATAAATAATTGTGGAATTAAAACAGAGCAGGTCAATTATCTTCTGCGTACGCGAACTGAACCTTTCTTTTCGGAGTAGTAATTTGTCGGTACGACGAATTGTGCAGTCGCGTTATGCAATTTCGTTTTAATCGGAGTGGGGAAAAAAAGGACTGGATTTACTGGTGTACTCTTTCGCGATATTTCTTTCGCGCAACCGGTATTACGGATTTACAGTTCACGTACGGCAATAAATGACCGACACAATATGTATGCAAATCCGAGAATGAGGCAACGAAATCGCGTACATTTAATTCTCGTTGCAAAATTTAGTTACATTCTCTCTCCTATCACCGTTCTAAAACCCATTAATCCCATTATTAACGATGAGTTGTATAAATACGTCGTTGCTGCCACTTTTTTTATTTTCAAGGAGAAATCATACTTTATATCGCAGTCGCGTTATTCATCTTTGAATTAGAAAAGGTATCGACAAATTTTTCAAATAAAAATTGGTAGATTGAAGAAAACACTTTTGTTTGAATGAAAAATTCAAATATGTTAAAAACGAGTGGTTCAAAAATTTAATTTCTCTATCGAACGGTACAGTTTTAGTTTCGAACAATTTTTCTATGTTGAATATATTTTATAATTCAAAGTTTTTGTAAATATAAATGGAATGGGGACTATGATACGGTGGATGATTTTTCCCTTGACGTTGAAGAGCAGGAGCAATTACGTTTAAAAATAGTTAAAAATAATGAAATACTATCGTTATTATTTGAAAGTTCTAATACTTCGAACTTTATTTAAAATAATCGTTAATTCAAATAACGAAATCATTTCTTGTCGTCGCGATCGACCACGATTTGCCATCGGTAAAATCGCGATTCTTCTTTCCAACCATACCATCTCACGATTCGAATAAAGAGGAACCGAAGGTTTCGCGTAAAAATTCGAACGCTTCCTATAAAGTTTCCACACTTGGTGCGGGGCCCGATGAAAAAGGTGATTGATGACCTGATAAAAATTCGACATCCTGCGCACGAGGAATGATTTACAGTTATAACGTCAAGTTTACGGCGCACTATTTACAGTGTCGCTCCGTGACGTCATTGTCGCTCTACGTACGTCACATATTAATGTTTTACTCTTTTTGAATTATAACGCGCCGCTCGAGCTGAGCGCATCGACGAGAACAAGCGATCGTCGATGAAAGAAATTGCTCGCGAACGCGTGAACGAATTTTCAATCGAATCGAACATTTCATTCGATCCTTATCGTTGTATTTCATTCTTAAGGTTTCAGCCACGCAACTGGGTTATCGGCGATCATATTTGTTCCTAGACGACGACTACAGACTTTGGCTTTCACGCTAACTGCAACGAATTCGTGCTTTCTGGCAATCGGAATTCTTTTTCTTGGTTGTTTTAAAGAAAATAACGGGAATCGATGTCGATTCAAGCAATTGGTTTATTTTTATGTACGATTATTGCTTCAATTAAATTGATTCTATTCGAATTAATTTTTCTTCGTGTGGCAAACTAAGAAACCAAAGGAACTTAATATTTGGACCAACATCAATGGTTACAATTTTTCTTTGTACCGAGCAACAATTATTACGATTTCTGTATATCTTCATGGATTTGATACTTGACACAAGAAGTAATAATATGAAATAGTTGATTTAAACGAGACATGCTCCCCTTTCTCGTTCGATTGTCTATACACGTTTCATTTTTTTCTATAACGTCGTTTGGAATCACTTCATGCAACCATGGATTAGATTGTGACAAATGGACTGTCCAAATGTTCAAAATTGCGTAAAGAATTTTATACATTCGTGGTTTATCGATCAGAGTCTATAAACGATGCTCTTTTCTATTAAATTTAATTAAATTTTGAAATTATTCGACGCGATTAAATATTTTCTTAGGAAATGTTAGCCAAGGACTGTATCGTGTTATCGTAAAACAAGAATTAAAATCCTCTTTAAAGCATACAGAGAACAATCCAGAAACTGGCACAATCGCGTCTCAAATGACGTTATAGAAATGTATAAAAAAAATTACTCTTATTTTCTAGGCTGAAAATTGCATTATTGAAACGATTAGATGTTTATGATTAAGTGATCGAGCAAATCGTCGCGATCTACCTCGAGAGAGCACAGTTTGCTACGCGTCTCTAGCCCTTTCGCTGCTGCAAACGAGTACGTAGTCGGTTTTTTGACAAATTGAGGTCTTGCATAAAAAAAAAAAATACTTTTTACAGCATTCCGTTTACAAATACAAATTCATTCGAACTTTTCTTAAATTTCAATGTTAAATTTCACGTACGAATTATTTGCAAGGCAAAGTGACCCATTTGTATCGTCGTCGAAAACTATCGGGCAACGCAGTTAAAGAATTTCTCCCTCGGATGATGGAATGTAAATATTCTAAGAACATCGTGATATACGATGACATATGATACTTATGTCATTGGTGAAATATTGCTGATGGTAATTCCGTCCAAAACTTTCGCGAAATTATTTATTTAAGACGCAGTTAGAAAGCTCCGGAAACGGTTGGTGCGACATATTTCGTTCGAGTGCTTCGAGCCATTTTCGTCGTTGGTAAAGTCGATCGGTTGAATATTCGACAATTCATTAACTATTTTAGGAAACAACGACGTTTCGTTTTGGTTTCTTCGAATTTTTGTACGTCTTTCCTCTTTAAAACTGATAGCAGGCGTATTCAAAACTGGGACTCGACCAATTAAGGGGTGTCAATAAGTGAACCGAACAACAGTACAGTGTCAATGAGTTTGCAAACCACCGATGGTTAAGACGAATGACTAGTCTTAGGGATACTTTTCATAATTGACTGCAAAAATATTTTACGTGGAACTAAGTTGAATAATGCATGAAACAATTGTATATAATTCATATATAGCATATAAGAATTCTATTAAAAAATGTTAAACTTGTTATTTGACCGGTCGTGGTAGGTTTAGTGTTACTTTGACAAAAACAAGCCTGTCTATAATAAAGACGACTAAAATTCAATGCCTTTCATGTCTGAAAATATATAGTTATCGAAAGACAAAGTTTACATTCGCCAACAAATATCTAATTCAAGACTCGCTCGAACGCAATTTATTCTTCGTTATTTATGTGCTTACTCCCGTCCAATTTGTTTCAAGGATAGTTTATCGTGCCCACTAAATAATGCCCGTTCGATTTCATAAGAATCGTTACAAATCTCTCTATCGAACGCGAGCGTCCAAGTCAAGGCTCAGAAGACAAATCACCGTCAGCATCTTCGTCGACGATACAGGAGGGTTCAACCTTCGCAATCTGTGCAGCACTACAGCCACAGAAACGCGTTTCACCCCCGTTCAAACTTAACGCCGTCAGCACTCGCGAGGTAACAAATCAAAGACAACGTTTCCCCTCCGTTCGCGAAAACTTTGTTAACCCTTTCCGCTCTGATGTCCAATCCCGTGTCTCAGTTCTCATATTGTACGCCATATTGTAAAGCCGTTCGAAATTAGTGCACCGATTGACTTGAAATTTTACGCACATTTAAAAGAAATCCTCATTGCAGAGCGAAACTAATTTTGTCAACCGAGATAGCTCGATATCTCTAAAAGTATCTTTTATCTTTGAAAACGCGACGAAATTGAATTTATCTTTTACGATGCTGTACTCGAGTCGCTTCTCTTCTTCTGCAGAAATTTTTACACAAATGTGCATCCTTCGATTCCTATTGCTTGACAAGACGCGAATGAATGTATGAACAAAGTTCAACAGTGATACGTCTACTAGCTTTCTCAAAGCGAAATCTCGAATTCAACCCTTTAACCTCTTCGTGCCTTTGCAAATGTAATGAAATTATAAGAAAAGTTTGCGTTAAAATTGAATTTAAAACGTTTAATCACGATTGGTTCATCGATACATCGAACGAGGCAGGTATCTAATATAAATAATCTTTGTAAGGGAAACACACGGCTGATATTGCATTAACTATACTGTAGATTTTATGGATTTTTGGTGTGTTTAAGTGTGATACCTCAGCAGGCAAACCGCGCCAAGTTCAAATTTTTCAAATTTGCGATAGATATGACGTCGAGTCGAATAGCTTAATTAATGTTGCATTCTTCATTGATTGAAGTTTTCAAAGTTGTTTTTTTTTTTTTTTTTTTTTTTTTTTGGAATAAAGAATTTTCCAAAAGGAGCTTTAGAATCTTGAATTTTTACATCAACTTTCGTATTTAATTGCAGTCACGTATGCCGGATTCATTTAAACCGGAAAGTTTTACGTAGTGATTTTTACGGAAACAAAATTCTAAAGGACCTTGTGGAGAGCTCTTTAGTTTCCCTCTGAGGTACAGATACGTTCCACATGCATTTTCACCATAAATCCAGAAAATCGGAAACTGCCGTGCATCGAAAGCGACATTGTGAGCGCGAAGGGGTTGAGATAGCACCTCGCGAGTGGGTAACATCGCGAGATCCCGACTCCGTCGCATTGAACGGGCTAGGTAGATCGTAACGTCCGAGCAAATCATCGTAACTAACTAAATCGTAGTAGTAATGGTATATAAGAAAAATAAGTATAAGAGAAACAACATGCCCTGGCTCGAGGAGAGGACCCTGACTCTGTTTGTACGGGACACAGAGGTCCGCCGGTACGAACCAGGAGTGCGTGAACGCGGGGTTGATGCTGAGCGCCCCAGCGGCCCCCTGATGGGGTCCGCCGACATCGACGCCGACACCGACACCGACCCCGACCGGGCTTTGTCGCTGAAAGCCCCCATAATCCATGGCCACCTGATACGGCATCATTTCCCTCTCCTTTTTCCTCCTATTTCTTTCTCAAACTCCCTATTTCCTCCACCCTTTCTTCTTGTTCCTCCTCTTCCGTTCGTGGACCACACGCACTGCCGTAACGTTCTGTGCACCACCAAGTTCACCTTTCCGCACCAAGTAACAACAAGCCGGCGGCACGCAACCGCGGAACAGTCATATTCCGCGGCTGATCATCGTCCATCGCGCGACTCGTCCCCGACACGCGTCACGATCGGGGCACCAAGGCATTCGTTCGCGTCTAACCGGATCGCGGCATGCGAAAAAGAGGACCGTGGCCGAGGGTAACGAGATGTGACACGGAGGAGTTGGCCCCGGCGAGCACGGTGTACGCGTATACGTCGGTACGAGGGAGAGCTCACGCGCGCGCACGTGCGTGTCAACAACTCCGGGGGCTCGGACTCTCGCGTGGACCAGCTGTTACGGGATCCCTTCGATCGCTCGAATCACGCGGGGGTCGCAAGCAGACAGCTAAACGACTGGTTCGTGACCGAACGACAGACTAGACCGGACTGTACCGGGTTTGTAACGTGAGCCGCGCGTCGAGCCCTGTGGGGGGGAGCGAGACAAACGTCGCTGGTGGGAAGAGGAGCGAGAAAGAGGGCGCGAGAGCTTGCGCCGAGTTGCGGGCGTAACAGCTCCGCCCACGACACAACCTGTCGTCCAATAGCGCGCGGACCTCGCGCGACAGGTCACGCCTGCGGCAACGCGACGTCGCGCACACTCTTCCGAAGCTTGCGTCATGCTGCACCCTTCAGGTGGAAACCTGATGAGCCGCGCCGCGAGCGCTGCAACACAACCGCGCTCCCTGTAACCACGTATCGCCACCCAGGCCCCGCCCATAGCTACTAATGACACTTGCCGGATGGTTAAGAGGTCGGATCGTACACCTACGAGCCAAGGAGAGGCTACCTTGTCGCAAGCCAAGGGCGACGTTCCCCGGAAATGGCCTGTAACCGAGCCACGTGCGCGACCGCCGATTCTTAACCCTCGTCGCGCCGGCCAGAGCTTTCTGCTTTCGTCGAAGGTGTTGGCCGTCGGTGGGATCGCTTTGGGATTCATTCTTTTTTTTTTTTATACTTCTCGGCGGCGGTACCGATGTGGGAATAATTGAATTCGTGCTATCGGGGAACTGGAGGTTGTTCGGTTGTATCGATTCGCAGCGAATCGAGTCGGTGATTTTTTTGTTGACATTTTTTCTCCGTTGTTGCGTGTTTCTTTCACAATTTTTGGGACACTTAGTTTTTGTCTTCTTCCCTCACTGGGTTAAGCGGTTGTTGTGTTTCGAACAGCCACGTGCTCGTGCGTACCGTTGGTCGTGATACCGGTTCTTGAATCGGAGCAGGGTAGACTTTGTAGTTTCGGCTTGAATTATTTGGTAGTAGGTCACTTGGACGTTAAGCTTTTCTTGTTCTTTCTCGCGAGATCTCGCTGCAAGCTGGATTTGCATTTGTAGCTTCTGAATTGGATGCTCATTGGATACGCCGTTGTCGCCTCGATATCCGTCTTATTCTCTCGATGCTGTTTTTCTTTTGATGCTAATTGTTCGAGTTATCACCTGTAAATTTGGAGAATCGATACGTGGAATATAAATATGGCAATCTGGGTGTCCGTTACCTGCAAGCCTGGTGATTTGAAACGAGCAAGACTGGACCAATAGGCACAATAATCAATGTAGAATTGATTAAGTATCCTTATAAAATACAGAAACAAAGAAACATTCTATATACAGTATCATGCCATGAACTATTACATGTAATATTTCTTAATAATTATCACACAGTGTTCGCATCTATGTTCTTTCTCGTAGGCCCTTATTTGAGCATTTGTAAGCAAAAACACCACGTCCCGATTGATTTCCAACTATTGGAACCGGTGGCCAACCATAAGTGTTATCAGGGTCTTTCTCAGCAGTGTTAAAATACTCAAACAATGACCAAACCGCATCTATACGCGACTGTTCCGCACTCTGACGCTGCGTTACCTGTCGAAACCATAATTCCTGCGACGATCCGCGTTTCGATTCAGCTTGTAAGCTGTGTCATTTTTCAGTGCGTTTGTATTCGACTCGTACGTAGTCGTCGCTACTTCCCCAGCGATAGAAACCGAACAGGAATTCATGAGAACGACGCGTCCGACAAATAGAAAACAGGAAGAGCCACGGGCGAAACGCTAGAAACAACGCTCGTTGTTATTTCCGTTTATCCGTGTCCCCGTAAAGCGGGAGGACGATCGTCCCCTCATGGATATTCATGGACCGCGACTTTTTCTGTTACTCAATCGGCCGATCGATCGTCGATTTATCTCACGCAGCGTCTTTATGCAATTACGCCAGCGAATGCGTGGCACGTAATAAAATAGCCGAGAAATCGACGCGAAACGCGACGCTAGCAACGAGCTGCCTCGTCGGAGACGAGTGAAAATAACGCGTGCCGACGTTATTTTGCGTTGTCACGACGAGGCGGGAGAAACAGGTACGCGCGTAATCGACTGCAGCACCCACGCCCTTGCCCAGACGCCATGATTCTCTTTGATTAAGCGCGCGATACGTGCAAATGACCGGCTCTAACCGATCGTGATTGAACAATGATGGTACAGCGCGCGACTGACTAATCGCGAGCCTTGAATAATCGCATCGTAAGTGAGAAAATTGTGGGTATTTTTGTTTGACTCCATTTATGAGGTATATATATATATATATAATAATTTCTCAATTCAAGTAATAGGCTCAGGTTTAAGTTCTCAAGATTGAAGTGAAGCTGAGCCTTTGTAATGTTTATTTTATTGTACCACCTGTACCACCTACAAAAAGTCGACATGAACTTTCCAGACGATCCAATAGTACACAGATAGCGATAGCACACATACAAAGTACTTGCAACAACCTTACGTATATCTCCACCTGCCGATATATCGCATCGTGAACAGAAAGTGAAACGAAATAGGTTCTCGTTTAAGGTGTCGATGTAGTTGCAAACAAACGACGGTACGACAAACCAAGGTGCACGGCACCGATCTTACTAATCTAAGAACGAAACGAAATCTTCTATGCACCTGCAACGCGACAAAGATACCGGTCGTTCACAGATTACACGGGAGTTCGATCACGCGCGAAAGATTCGTGGCTCGGTGGAGCGTCGGCGTCGTGGCGTCGACGGGGTTAACCAACCCGGGGCGTGAATTCATCGAACGATCAGGCTGGCAGAAGCCTATCGTCGAGGAAACAGCGGCTACCGTGCGCTCAGCGATAGAAAGAATCGTGGCGAAGAGCGACGCGGGCAGCGTCGCTGGGTGCAACGAGCGAGCTGATACTTAGCATGCATCCCCCGATACGAAGGATTCCTTATTGTATCGTTGCACGTGAGCGTAATGCATAAAACGCGAGCGTAGCTGCGGGCTCTCGTTCTCCCGACGAGCGTCCTCTCTCCTCCGTTCGGTGATAACTCCTAACGTCCTCATAATCATACATATGGATGTCCCGTGTTCGTTGGACTGCTCGTCGCTCCGACCAAGCTGCCGTGTTTACCCGCTGACGGACAATACGTCCGAGCCGATATTGTCCGTGGTTGGGCCGCGTGATCGGTAACGAGGCGAAACCGAACGATTTCTAAGCGTCGCGCGGGCCGGCGATCGTTAATCGGTATGCAACGTCGAACACCCGAAGGGGCTGTTTCGTCCAACTCCAGGAAAAACGGGTTCCAGGGAGCTGCCGCGGCGCGGCTTTCTAAATTCTCGATCGGATACGTGGTCGCCGGGGTCAATTAACACTTTGCTGACCAGTCACGAGCACACCGATGTTTTCACGGTCTAATGGTGCTCACCGGTCACGGATTAACCCTTTGCACTGCGAGCAATCGGGATGTACGTAGGTGTTGTTACACGGGGGCTTCCGGGTGGACGGCTTCTGGGTTCTTTGGGCTCTGATGTTTTGCAAGTTGGTTTCTTCAGGAGTTAAATAGCAGACTGATGTTAGTAATTAGTGGGTCACTTTAATCCTGGATAAGAAATTAGCTGTGCCTCGTTGCATATAGGATATTAAAATCGCACATCTTCATATTCATTTATAAAATGTACAAATCGACGATCGAGACGACCAGAACTGTGAACAAAAGTTCACGAATGAATGAGAAAATTAGTAGATAATTTGTAACTCGCGAAAGACAGCCAACTCCGCCAAGAGCATGTCGAGGAGCAACTCGAAGAATCGCGCGGCTCTGCACCAGTCCGAAGCACGAGGACCGAAGCTCTCCCTCGTCCCCGTCCCCCATCGTTCGGTCTATCGAACGATAGCGTCCAGAGTCGCGTAACCGGTCGCTTCTTGAATCGGATAATATCACTTTTATGTATATAGCGATGACTATCTAACCCTTCCGAGGACCATGTATCAGCGCGGGCATAAACGTCGGCCGGGGGTTAAAGAAGGGCCCATAAAATCCGCCCTCGCGGACGCGATAAGAGTTATCTCCGTTCTCTAATTGAAAGTTAATTGGTCCACCGGTTTAGTCGCGCTGGAGGCCGTCCGTTCGCTTGCGCGACGCTAACCCCAGCCTAGGGCGGCAATTTAGGAACGGGCGTAGGTACAATAATGAGACCCTATCTTATGGTGTTCCCTGCGACACCGTAACCACCGCCACGGTACACGTATTACCTACCTACCTACCGTGTTACGTGCCACGCCGAGTCCTCCCACGTGCTCGTAATAAACCGGCCCTCTTCCTTCGCGTAATCGAGAATTTCCGACAAACACGTACCGGGCTGCGGTGTACCGGTATCATCAGAGAGATTGCGATCGGACCATCGGTACAAGTGCTCGACTTACTCCATGCACGTATCCATTTCCGTCGCGCCAACACGCGTCGCGACGTTTCCCAAGCCGATAGGAAAATTCGAGAGCGCAAAGTTGTTCGGTTAAGTCGATCGGGAGATCGCGGTGGATCGGAGACTGTGGGATCGACGTTCGAACGGAAGATCGGGTTTCTTCTCGGAAACTGCGCGGGGGTGTATCCTCCTCGACATGCTGGAAGAGTGTTTACTCTTGGAGGCAGGAGAAGGGTATTGTTTCTTGGACGTTGCACGAGGGTGTTTTCTTCTGGGATACTTGTAGACGGTGTCTTTTCTTTGGAAACTGTACTGGGGTGTTCCTTCTTTGGAGGTTGTGCAAGGAAGATTCATGGAGGTTGCACGTGTCTTTTTGAATATTGGTGTATGAGGGTTTCTTCTTGGACACTGTGTTAGGCTGTTGCCTTATAGAGCTTGTATAGAGATGTTTGTTTCAGGATATCGTGCAAGGATATTCTCACTTGGAGACTGTGGTAGAGTATACTTTCTTTTAATAGAGATCATGGACGGAGGTTCCTGAAGCCTGCATCAGAGTGATTCTTCTTAAAAATGATGGGAGATTATTTCTTCTTGAAGATTGGTGTAAGGAGTTTCTTCGTGGACACTGTGTTTGACTGTTCCTTTTTCCTGTTTCTCCTTAGACTCTGTATTAAAGTGTGTCTCTTCCAACACTGTGCAAAGTTGTTTTCTCTTGGAGGATGCGTTAAGGTATCTTTTTTGAAAGACAATACACGGGAGCTTCTCCTTATAAGTTTCTTCTGCAAGTCAGTATCGGAGCGTTTATCCTTGAAGACAATACAGGGGAGATTCTTCCTGAAACTTATGGAAGAATGCTTATGTTTTCTTGGACATTGTATGAGAATATTTCTTCTTAAATATTACGATGAGATGTTTTTTCTGGAACCTTGTGCAAATATATCTTTTCTTGAGGTTCAACGGTATTCCATCATTGAAATTGTATTCTTGACTACATAATTACAATCACCTAAAAGAGAATTCTTCAACAAAGAAGTTTTATCAGATGATCTTCGCTCGCCACTGTAAAAACTGGACGACTTCATCGATTGATTTTCCCTGGTAGTTTCAGTTCTTGGAACTTGTTTGCCATCGCTGTTTTAAACGGCTCCTCTATCGGGAAAGTGGTCAGATTTATGTTGTAGTTCCATGAAGAGTAGAGTAAAAGTTTCGTTGTGAAGTATGATATAGTTCCTTGACTCGGGGAAGATCGGACGGCGCGATAATAATTGCTACGAAATGTCAAGTGTATCAACAAGGATCTTGCTTGTACCTCGGACTAACTGATACAGAGATCTTTCCGAAGCGGTTTGGGCAAAGTTTTTACATCGAAATCTCTCGACAAGGAAACCAAGCCAGTGTACAGACTTTCATCGTGAAATGCAAATTCTTACGTCGGTATTTGAATAGTTATTCAAACCATACAACGCAAGAGAAATTGAAATAACGCTTCGAATTCTATAAAAATGAAATATATAATATAGAAGTACGACTACTGAAATTGAAAATAAAGTAATAGTATATACCAATATTATAAAATGTAAAGATTGAGAGTTGAATATTACACTTTGCTTTTTTTTTGTGGTTCGTTTGGTATTCATTTAATATTGCTGTACATTCGATAATAACTTGTACTGTAAGGCTCGACAGAATTAGTAACGAGGTATCAATATTAGCAAATACATTAAGAAACGTATCCGTACAAATTTTGCAAGCAAGGAGGGTGCGGGAGTATTCAAACGAGGTTACGAGAAAAACAAACAGGAATCAGAGACACGCGATCTCGTGAAAACAACCGGCTCTTATTCTGCTAACAAATTAATCCGATTAACCGGATTGATTATACGAGGGTTGCGCGGCGTGTTGAGTTGATCGGGGATTGCCCGCAAAATTACGGTTAGGGTACATCGCTGAACGTGTTCCGTCACTTGAACGCTTCAGTACCTGCTGTGAAATGAAAATTCCGAAAATAAAACTACGAAATTATTCTTATTAAATACTTTGGTTAACCGACTGAAAGAGAAGAGCAAAATTAATAAACGTTTCATTCGATGGAAAAGGAGGTCGAATAAAAATTGAAAAAGAATGATTAAAAATGAAACGCACAAGTTTGAAAAAAGTCAAAGTCGATCGGTCGATGCTCCTTGCTTGAATGCGAACTATTCTCGCGACGCGTTC